CATTGGGTCACCTCTCTTTGGAATGGGCATAAATATGGTCACAGGGTGGCTGACCCATTTTAAGGAATTTGTTTTCTAGATTTTGAACTTCCTGAAAAGTTTGATCTCTCTAAGAATTGGCCTATAAGTCTACCTCCATTGTCAAGCCCACTCCTACCCTTTGCAAAATAAAGGTGTGTGTGGCCGGTACCCATCCTGCAGCTCATGAGAGGTATGTGTGTGGAGAGGTGGGAAAAACCTTTGGGGCCCAAAGTTCAGGAATGGGTAGAATTTTTAGTAAAAGCTTCCTATACAGATCAACTGAAGTACTCAAGCTGCCTAGCCTTGTTTCTCTCTGACTTTTAGGGGTGAGGCATGATTTTAGAACCAAGGTATTTTGGCGTTGGTTGGCATGTTATGCACTTATATACTTTGTAGGTGGAGAGATGGGAGTGATTTCCTTCTTCTGTCCTCTGATTATTATCACAGAATGAAAATTTCTTGAGGCAGAGCGACTTGACTGTAAAACAAGCTTCAAATGCCAGGTCATGTTTTCCCCAGGGTTTTAAAGGTAAACAGTTATTTTCAGATCTTCTGACTACTCTTCCCTAGGGCTTAGAAAGGAAAAACAAAAAAAATAAAATAAACAGAAATTGAGAAAATGAATGGCTTTGTGTCACAGTAACAAATCCTTTTGCAAATTAGATGATTTGCAATGTTAGCTTTCTACAATACTGAAGATAGACCTAAATCTAGTTATCAGAAGATATATCATGAGAAGTAATTTCTGTTGATAGATCACTATGTGATTTTAGTTCCCTGTCATCACATTACTATCAGAAATTCCTTCTATTCCCACCTACTTCCTTAAGGGAAGAAGATTTCTCAACCCGTAAAGCCAGTGATGTGCTGGTAAACATTCATTTACAGACTAGACAGTGGGGACAGTCCTTAGTTGTAGCATTGCCGATTTTGGTGATGTAAATGTTCCTGCCATGCCTGATTTCAGGCTACCAATGTGACATCATTCAACATGCAGTTGGAAAGAGATGAGCAGTATTTCTCCCACACAGTTACAATAGGCAGAAATCATCTCAAGAGCATTGTTGTTGTTGTTGTTGTTGTTAAGTGTTGTCAAGTCTGTTCCAACTGAGAGACACCCTGTATACAGTTTCTGAGGAGTAGCTGATGGGTATGAACCACCAACCTTGTGGTTTAAACTGACCTTTCGATCCAAGATCGGCATACCAGGACTCAAGAGCATAGGTAACAGTAATATACAGTGAAATAATTAGAAAGTGATGTGCTTTGAGTATTGATTTTCTTTGTTTTTAATATAATTTGTGAATTGATATAATTTAATTGTTAATAATAGTCATGTTTGACAATCAGCTCATAAAATTCCTAAAAGTTGGCTCTCATGAACCAGTACCTACTGACATCAAGCACACCTTAAAAGGAAAAATAGAAACAAAATTATTCCTACAACCAATCTCATTCTTGTACAAACAATATTCATCCAGGAATATATGAACTAATTGCAAGGAAAAATGACCCCATCCACCTTATTAAACCAGGCATTATCAAAGTTTGCATGACTGGTTGCATGGGGATACATTGTTATTGTTAGGTGCCATCGAGTTGGTTCACACTCAGAGCCATCCTTTGTAGTAAAGAATGAAGCACTGTCTGGTCCTACGTCATCCTCACAACCATTGCCGTGTATCTGAGCCCATTTTTTTAGCCCCTCTGTCAGTCCAATTTATTGAGAGTC